CAGAGGAAGGGTATTATGTAAATTACATAAATTAAGGCGCTTTACCCTTTGCCACCAACTCTCATCTCTCATCACCACTTTTATCATTTTGTGATAATTTAGCCATCACTTTAAACACAACCAATCTCAAGATGTAAACGTCTATCTACTCCATGTGCATCGGGGCCAAGCTCAATTGTTTGCTTTCTGTTTTTTTACATTAATAATACAATTATCAGGAACTTTGGTGTCGTCTTCTCTCTCTTTGCCTGGACTTGGCCCTTTTTTTAGGAAAAAAAAAAAAAAAAAATTAAGAAAGAAAAAACCCATATAGTTGTGGCCTAGACTTGGCTATGGTCTTATGGATGAGTGAGACCAGGGTTTGGCTTTGAGCAAAGTCGTGGTTTGGACATGGGAGCAGGTAAGATGCTCGTATAATCAACTTCAACCCTTCCAAATAGATGAATCAAGAGACTAAGTACAAATAACTCAACGCGAGAGTGACTCGTTACACAATCAAGTTAATATTTACAAAGGACAAGAGAGATTTTTATTTTATTCTTAGGACAAGAGAGATTTTTATTTTATTCTTTGGCCTGAAAAGAAGGAGAAAATAAGCTACCACATTTGCATACGTATAAGCACAATTGGGAAAATTTTGGATTTTTTTTTTCCTATGTCTGGTGTGTTATTGATCACATTGTTGGGTGTATTTAGAAGCTCCTCTATTGAAATGGATTTGGGTCCTCTTGTGGTGGAAAACAAAAGTTGGCCTGTTGAAAACAATTGGGTCTTTCTGGTCATGGCCTCATGAGTCCGTTTAAAAGAAAAGCAGTCGCGCTTTTGTACAAATCATTATTCCAAGTCTTTTGGTTCTTCAAACCATGTAAAAAGAGTGGATGAGCGAAATTTGCTCGCAACTCTCAGACCAAGTTTGTGAATGGCTTGATTGCCATACAATACAAAGCCAGAAATAGGGGGCATGATTTGAGACAAATTTTTGAGGAAAATTGTTCGTATTGATATTCAGCATAAGTTTGGATGGTGAAGATTCACATCAATTCAGCCAATGGTTTGACTACTTCTGCAAGGAGGCATACAAACGACTTGTAGTTTTATATATACAAGTGGTTGGTGAGTTTACAGTCTAATGTTGTTTCTAAATTTCATGGTTTGCACTTGCACTTTTCAAGCATTGTTGCTCAGTCTGTTGAAAATATAAATTCGTTGTGTTAACTGACTGACAAGGAAAATTACAGCAAATATATGCAGGCATAATTTGAGGCTTTTACCTACACCATTCATTGACAACAAGGAAATTACAATCAGTAACGTTAAAGCATTAACTAGTTAATAAGTTAATACGATACTAACCACTCATTGTGACATACTCCATATTATAATTTCATTATTAGAAATGTTCATTTTTAGGTTCTCACTAAAGATAATCATCATAAAAATTTACTCATCTTAGAAGAAATTGTTTAGCTATTTGCTCATTATCTTGAATATCTTTCATCGTTGATCGAAAGTATTGTGTTTGTCTATTTGTGTGAATCACAGTTAGATAATTAAATGCTTTTCAACTTGAGTGAATTTTATCGGAAATGATTTGATGTGGACGTAAACAAGAACAAATAATGTGTATGTGTTATACTGCAGAATGAGTCCAAGTGAGTGATTAGTGTCATGAACTTACTAACTAATTGATGCTTGAGCACTAGAGCCTTACTTTGCACAATAAAAGTATCCAAGTGGGTTGAGCTTTGGGAGTATAGTTTGGCCCTTGGGGCTCAACAATAATTCTCCAGGCTTGGCCGATATATGCTAAATGGAAAGCGATCCAAGGAAAGGAAAGGGGTAGTGACAACTCTATCTTTCCCATTTTTGTTCAACACCTAACAATTTGATTAGGACTTTCCCATTTCGGCTTAGTATACTGATAAAAATTCACAAAATTATATTAAAAAAACCAATCCTGGTTGAGTTGACTGAGGGCTATTAGGTGTTGGTGTGTATTGATCAAATTGTTCGGTGCATTTACACTGCATGCCTCATGGCAATGGCATACATAAGATAAGACAAGGGTGTGGTCAAAGTTCAAATAATTTTGGGGTTCTTGGTGTCATTGGGGCTTTGCTTAGTTTTGCGTACGATTGACAATGTCGACAACACAAAACAAAATTCTATATATATAAACCAAACCATGTAATCCATCAGTTCATATAAATCATCATTTCTCATTTTGGATGGGTTGAAAACAAATAAAAATATATATAAGACAGCTATTAAACCTTACCTTAATTGGAAGAGTTTGTGTTGGCTAAAGGAGGTAAAGGGATGTGTTTGTCTTCATGCGGAATTAAACATTGTATATTATTATTACAAATCGAAATCACACCATCTTCAACATACCTTTACATAATCCATACGCAAACATAATTGAGAAGAAGATAAACACATGTTTGAGGATTTGAAGCATCTCCCCATAAATGCATCTATGAAGGTGCTTAATTTAATTTATTTATTATAATAATATTATTATTCAACTTGCTGATTAGGGTTTTCTGTTTGCCAAAGTTAGGAAGTGAGAGGGGAGTTTTCACACACAAACTGCCAAGATGCCACAAAGGTTCGAACCTGAAACCACTGATCTGCAATTTAAGATTTTTTTTCCACTAGGCTATACCTGTTGGCAAATTTACTACTTAGGATTGAGTCCATTTAACCAACACATGTTTAATCCAAAATGATCAGTTTCAGGGTTCGCTTGTTTTCCATCTTATTTCCCTTTTGCAATGGTTTTGTCCAATTAATTAGTACAAAAACCTAATTTAAATGGTTTGAAATGTATATATTATCCAGTTCAATATTTCAGTGTTGATGAATCTGTACACGCACCATCTGTTATAAGCCAAACGTGGCACCCCAGCCTCTCTTAAAAATTGGGTTCATAATAAATTGGGGCTGGCCAACGTCCATAGTTTTAAATGGTTGAAATTTGGATGGATGGATGGATGGCTGGGAAGGAACCCTTACCCACTAAGAAAACTTTGACAAAATTTGCCTCTCTCTCTCTCTCTCCTTTTTTATTTTGGGGACCTTCTTCTAGTTCTAGATCTCTGGCTTTTCAGAAATGTCCAAACACAAAGTAAATTATTAAACTTGTTATTATTTTTTTGGCTGAAACTAAATTATTGAACATAAATTCAGGTATGTTTTAATACAATATTTTCAAATATTCAATGCCAAGCTGAAGCCTAAAGCATGGTGGTAGCTTTATATTTTATATCAAAGTCCAAGTTGCACCACCTCCATTCCATACCTTCTTTTAATATATTAATCCAAACCCTATGATTTGATGTTGCATTTGCACCTGCTTGTTGCATTTTTAAACTCTTGATCGATGACTTTCCACAATTATTTGATCAGCAAGTTAGAAGAACTCAACCAAACTTTCCAGAAAAAGAGGGTTGTGATATCTTTTTCTCGGTGTTAATTTCTAGGTAAGATCGATTTGCTATATTCTAATGAAATTTCTCTGCAGTTTCCAGCATGACTAGAAATTTATAGCTGCATAGGAGCTCTCTCTCTCTCTCTCTCCAAAAAAAATAAAAATAAAGTAGGAGCTTTTGCTGAAGCATCTTTTGTGGCATCAAATGAGTCTGGTTTAGCAGATAAAAAGGAGCATATATAAAGTCCAATGATAATGCGCCTGTTTTAGGAAGGCATCTCAACTGGGACATGTGGATCAATGCGTTTCAAGTATTCGAATAAACTAAGGAAGGTAGGTTGACGAATATTGGAACACATGGTTACTACTAATCATGGTCAATGAAACCTCGTAGGCTCCGGCTTCTCTTCTAATTCCAGCTTTGTCGACAATGATGATTTGGTGTAGTGACATTTAATTCTGCTTCGTTGTATAACTCCAATTTGGTTCAAATTTGAAGAAATATTTTTTCTATTAAAACTAATGTCTATACAATTCGATTTTGATCCAACTATTAATTATGTGTCAACTTTCATCTCATGCTCACAGATGACCATAAGATCATCATTCACTTTGAGAAATTGGGTCCATATTTCTTTATTTTTCTCAGTGACCCAACTATATGTTATGTGATGGAAATTTCATGTTATTTGGTTATATAGAATTCATGGGTAAGCTTCGTAAAAATATAAATTTGTAGAAGATGAATTATTATCAAGACATATCTAAAATCCCCAGAAAAATAAACACAAAACTGGATAAAGAGTGAGCAGAAGAAAATAAAAAAAAATGGATGATGAGGAATGAAGAGAGCATAGTAGACAAGGTGTGGGTGGTGGAAGAGACGTGAGCAACCATTGTTTTTATACAGACCATAATGAATTGAATGGTTTTCATTTCACCACGAAAAAGAAAAAGAAACAAGAAGAAGAAAATAGAGATAGTGATATTTTATGATATGAATGGGTGCATGGACTGGTGAATGGTGATGACGCGCATGATGATAGATAGGTACAGAAAATATATCTGAAATTAATTATAATAGAATAAATAAAAGCAGTACTGTCATATTTGATGAATAATGAGATGAAAAAAGAAATAATAATAATAGGATGAATGAGAACGAGATTATGAATAGTAACTAAGCCCATAAAAAGGATGGTGAAAAAAAAAATAGAAAGATTCCAGAAATAGGAAAGAACAGTAGTAAACAGAAGAAAGTACAACCAGAATAATATATACATTGCATAGAAAAGGCATTAAATATTAATTTTATTCCCATTAATATTTGGCTACAAAAAAGAAAAGAGGACGTGGATGCCTCAACACCGTCCGTTTGCCATAAATTTGTTGTCGTTGTTGACTTTACTCTGTCTCTGTCTTTGTTAGCTGTTTGGTCTTCTTGTTCTTGTTGTTTTGAAGTTTGAGGAAGTTTGAGCAAACCATTTTCTCTTTCTTCTTTTTCAATCTCTCTCTCTCTCTCTCTTTCTCTCTCTCTGTTTATGATTCTGTGATTGTTGTTGTTGGTTTTTGAGAGCATATAATTTTTTTTTTTTGTAACCCAAAAGAAAGAAAGAAAAAAAAGTGGAAAAAGGAGTAAAAGCAGCACACCTGCAGTGGAATTGTTGGAGTTTGGGCAACAGAGATTATATAGCGCCATTTTTATAGCCGGTTTCGTTGTGTTGTTGCATAGTTAGATAGATTGATAGACAGACAGATAATATCCTTCGAGAAATTATAGGATACCCTTTTTCAGTTTTTAATCCACACCAAAAATATCTTTTTCAAGTTTTTATTTTTAGTTTGATTCATTTGATTGATTCAAAGGATTTTCTTTGTCTTTGGAGGCCATGGCTGCTCCTCAATTTCAACACCCTCATCACAACTGTAATCTTCTTTTCTTTTATTGTTTTTTTCTCTGAATTTTGTTAAGGAAGAAGTTTGTGTTTTTCTGGTGATTGAGCCTTAACTCTGTATTTCAATTTTCTATGATCAGCAATTAAACAAGAAGAAGAAAAAGAAACAAACCTGCATGTTCAATCCACTGAATTCTTCCATTCCAATCTGGTACTGTTCCATTCCTTTATTTCAATTCACACAATCGTTTGTCAGTTTCATCTTTTACCTCCAATTATTACAGCTATTTTACAGAAATTTTCATCTCCTTAATTCATTTTCATCTCCTTAATTCATTAAGTACTTGGTTTTTAGGCCTAAAGCTCAAATTTTCAGGCTGAGATTCAATTACCAGTGTTACATATCTAATATCTATTCAAGATTAGCATGGTTTTTATGTTTCTTATGCAATTCATAATATCTAATTTGTGAATTTGGGTATGTTTTTGTTCATCTTAAGGCCCTCTCCAAGGATGGAAGCCCATCTGATACAGCATCATGCATATCAACTGTGGGAGATACAACTGCCAGTGTCAAGAAAGGTGATGCAGATGCAGATGCAGATTATGAATCCGTGACTTCTTATCCAACCACTGCGTATTACGGATACACCTATCCAGGTTTGCTGCAGCTTCTTCATTTACAGTCCATGACTTTTATCCTATTAGTACTTTCCCATCTAACAGTAGCATGTTTACAGGTTATGATATGGAAAACCAAGGATACTATGTTGGCGGATCCGGGATGGAGATGCAATACCCTGTAAGTTCCTTTATCTTCTTCACAATTGCCTATGAACAACATTGAAGTATATATCTGGATTCCTATAGCTTGAATATTGGAGTTCAAGTTGTAGATTTCAGCATGCCTTTAGCTTATTGTAACAAATTGATCTTATAATCACTATTGCTTCATTTAGGTCATGCAAGCAGATAATGGATCTTTTGTCTACTTGATGCCAGGATTTCAGCCTGGCTACGATCCTTACGCGCCATACATGCCCATAACTACAATCGGTAGTGATGGACAATATGTTAGTCAACAGATGTATCCCCCACTCAGCCCCATGTACCAAGCTCCTATTTCCCCTGGATATAACCCCTCTCATCTTCCTTATGGGGAGTTAGTCCCATCACCTTACTTGTGGGATCCATCTCTTGTTGGAGATGGAACAGTTGGAAATGCTTACAATGGAGTTTTAGAAACACCACCCTCTAAAACTAGTTTCTCTTCCCCTAGTCACAATCGTGCTCCACTGTTTAAATCTCCTAAACCGTTGGATGTTCAATCAGGTTATGGTGCACTTAATCAGCCAAAACCAGTGAACAAGGTAGAGTATATTTTCTTTCTTCTGTTGGCCTTATGCCCTCACCTTGTGCAATTTTGTTAATTGTTTTCTGATGATTTTTAGGCCTCAGCACGTGCCCCAAGTATCCAATCAGAAGCACTAGCCAAAGGATACTTTTCTGTGGCAAAGGTTCCGGTCTATAACCAAGGGACTGGTGGATTGCTCTATCCAAACAATTCACCAACTTTAAAAGCAAATGCGAAGGGTTGGGGTGGCTCTGAGAAGTTGAAACCAAGAAGTAAGGCTAATGGTGTTAGAGATATTAGTTTGTTTAATGAAAAGAACCATGGCCCCAGATCAACCAACCCTAAAGGTGCATTGTTGTCTGGAGCTGAAAAGGAGAATGGAAAGTGCGACAGCATAGCCTCTGCCATCAGAAAGGATCAATATAACCTTCCTGACTTTCCAACCAAATATGAGCAAGCACTTTTCTTTGTTATCAAGTCTTACAGTGAGGATGATATTCATAAGAGCATCAAGTACAATGTGTGGGCTAGTACTCCTAACGGGAATAAGAGGCTGGACAGTGCTTATCTAGATGCAGAGGAGAAGGTTGCACAGAAAGGCTGCAAGTGTCCCGTGTTCCTTTTCTTTTCGGTATGCTCTAGAATTTGACCTAATTTGGATGCAGGAGTCTCCGACTGCACATTTTTAGGCTATTGGCCTCTGAAATGAGTGACTAATGCCCTCTTTCTTTCTCTGTGCTCCGTTTCAGGTTAATGCAAGTGGTCAGTTTTGTGGAGTAGCTGAGATGATTGGCCGTGTGGACTTTAATAAGAGCATGGATTTCTGGCAACAGGATAAATGGAATGGTTATTTCCCAGTCAAGTGGCATATCATAAAAGACGTCCCAAACCCACAGTTACGGCATATAATTCTTGAGAATAATGAGAACAAGCCTGTGACCAATAGCAGAGACACGCAAGAGGTGAGCATCTCCAAATAGTTGTTTGATTTTAAATTACTGTTATATCTTATTTCAGATGTCGATCAGTCAGAGCAACCATAACTCTGAGGTTATCTTGTATTTCCAGGTGAAATTCCTTCAGGGTATTGAAATGCTGAACATATTTAAAAATCATCTGTCAAAGACATCAATACTGGACGACTTTGATTTCTACGAAAGCCGCCAGAAGGTGATGCAGGAGAAGAGGATCAGGCAGTCTACACCTTACTATGATCTGCAGGTATACGACTTCGCATCCATTCTCTTGGTTTTTTTTCAGCTAATCAAAATTCTTTCCTAGTTTTCTATTGTTATTGGAACTGCTTTGGTGAATGCATGGAGAGGAACTGAGAATCATGAGTTGTCAAGATCACCAACTGAGGTGGTGGATGGGTTAATATTAAGATTGAAAAGATGATGCTCTTTGATTACAATAAAATTAAGAATAAAGCAGGGTTCCTTATGCAAGTAACAAAGTGGAGAGTGTAGTGCCTTAGAAATTTTGAAATGGGGAGTTTGACTTTATTCTATTCTTTCAAAAGATAGGATAATAATCACTGCAATTTTCTTTTTTGATTGCTTTAAATTTTTCTAAGGCACTCATGCATAGTTGTTCCTCTTGGAATTATTACTAAAAAGTTCTTCTTTTATGTTGCAGCTAAAAATAGGTGAGTTAAGTATCAGCGCTGAGTAAGGGCCTCAGGTTAGAGGCAAAGGAAGGATGCAGGGAAATGGGAAAATGAATGAATATTTGGAGCTGAAAGCCAAAAGGAAGGATCATAAAAGTGTATAATGTGTAGCTGTTTCCCAACAAATGAATGAGATATAAAATGCTGGTTTTGGCTACCAGGGAGGTTTCTTTATAGCCCACACAACAGCTTGAATGCATCCACTTTGATTGCTTGTGGAATCCAACCTCTCTCCCCTGCCTACCCACACTAGTGTTTCTTTCAGCATAAAGTCTTTGGTTTTTGGTTTTTTTTGTCTCCCCACCCTTTTCTCCTCTTCTCTTGATAATCACAATTCACAAATGTAATTGTAGAAAGGGAAAAAAAAAAAGAAAAAAAAAGAAAAAAAAGAAAAGGGAAAAGAAAAGATGGTGATAGTAAATTACTTCAATGAATGACCGACAGGTTGTATTAGTTTACAGTTTAAACTCAATGTAATTAAAGAAAATTAAAGTGCATTTTGCTGTCGAGCTTTTCGAGTTTGCTACGTTTTTAACTGCAGAAAAGTCGCAGGATTTGCCTTGCCAGAGGTTTTTTTAACTTCATCTAAAAAAAATGAATTGCAGAAAACTAAAAAATGCGCCAAGAAGCCCATGAAGCTAATCAAAACTAAAAGCACAACCATGATGCATCACCAAACAAATTTTTTACTTAATTCGATAATAAGAACGAAAACGAGATTGTGAAAGTGAAGGATCTCTGTTTCTTTTTGTCGGCTGCAAAAAGGTATACCAGTTGAAGGATAATTAACCATGTCCCCAATCATGAAAGAAGAAAACAAGGAATTTACATAGAACTCGGTCGTGAAATGACACATTCTCAAACTACCATATTTCCAAAATCCATATTCTATGGACAACAACCATTAAAGTGCGTGGTAATCATGTCCCTCCAAATGCCTAGAACCTTTTGGGACATAATAAACTGCGACACCACGTTTAACTAGGGAGCGAAACCCTTATTATCATTCAAATGGCAGAAACGGGGGATAAAGTGCACATCTTTTATAATTTTCAGTCTTAACCTTGATCACTAGGTGCTGCCCCACGTGCACGTCCACGTCCACGCACACCTCGTCCACGTCCCACTGGTCTTCCACGACCTCTGATTGGTGGAGAAGGGGCTCCAGCTCCAGCCTGTCTGATCACGGATCTCTGCCTCGCTCGTTCTGTTATAGAAATGGTAGTTGATGTATTAGTCACAGGAGATACCTGTTTCACCTCTTCTGTTTCTGCAGTAACACTCGCACTAACTTGCGTTGGAACATTAACTTCCGTAGGAGTACTTGATGACGTATTCTCAATAATTACTGAGGCAGCTTCGGCTCCCTGATCAGTCTCCATCCCAGTTTGGTCATTACCATCATTTGATTTATCAGAACCATCGGCAGCTTCTTCAGTTACAACTTCATCATTTTTCTCATCATTTAGAACCTCTGGAGAATTTACCTCACCAATATCCACAACAGAACTAGCAGCAACCCCTTCATCATCGCCCCTGGCTGGGGAAGCCCCAGGAGTTGCAACGGGCTCAGGTTGACCTTCCCCTATTTCAGGACTGCCAATTGTATCACCACCTTCAAGCTCAGAAACGTCAGGGACCAACTCTCCCTCTTCTCTGTCTCCTCCAAATTCATTGGACTGTTGGTTGTCCAGCTCAACCTGATCCTTGGCTCCATCATCACACATCATCTCAGTTCCACCTGATCCATCAACATTTTCTTCTAAACCAATATGCTTGTCAGGTTGTGATTCTACTTGATTTGAACCATCAAACTGTCGTTCATTTGGCTCTTCAACCTTCTCTCCTGTAGTCTCAATTTCTTCCTTCTCAGTATCACCAACAGCTTCCTCATTTGAACCTTGAGGCAACTCAGTGACATCAATAGCTTCATCTTTAACTGGAACACTGCAAAGATTTTCAGAAATAGCAGATGGTTGCCCTTCACTCCCTTGTGGAGAATCTGAACCTTTGGACTTCTTCAACACAGGTGCTGCCACATCAGGACCAGTTTCCGCTTGGTTACTTGATTCCTCCCGAGACTCAAAAGCAGAAGAAGAAGCATGACGTTTTCGAAGCAGCGGTTGTGTTGAAGTAACATTGCCTTGAACTTCCATTTCATTTGATGGGGCATGCTTGGCCACATTGCGGCTCCCTTCCATCTCTGACATCTCTACATCACCTTGTGGTTCTTCAGGTCTTACAAGACGGGGCCGAACCAACTTCCTCCCTGTTTTACGCGTTTCAACATTGCTTTTGGGCAAAGTCAAAGTCAATCTCTTTTCACTTTCTTCAGTTGATTTGGATGCCAAACCTGTTGCAGGGCTCATTGAGGACACAACAGTTGGTGCTTGACCAGTACCTGCATAACCCACAAAGCGCATTAGTCATGAATAAATGAATAGTAGCAACTAAATCCAATATGAAATCAATTTTTTTAAGAAGGAAAAAAAAAATAATGAAAGTAAAACCATCATCAGTATAGAAAGGATTGCTTAAGTAAGGAAAAGCACCCGAAGTAGCTGCTAATGAAGCATCTGAAACTGGAGGAGTGTCTGTAGGAACACCATGAGTTCCAAAGTCATTGTGAACTGAATGTGCTGACTTTTCAAAATTTTCAACAGCCAAGCTGTAGGCAGTGGCAAGGCCATCCAGTATGGATCCAGAAAGAAGTTGAACAACAGAGGTACCCTGAGATATACAGATTACTATTTACACAAATCCAGGTGCAATAGAAAGTATGGTTTCTAAAGATGATGATAAAAGTACGTAAAATAAGTTATAATACAGGTATTTGCTTGTCGATACTTAAGCATATTTGTTTTATTCAACTGACATCAAGCTGTGCGAAAGGAATCTGTTTTCCAGTATTCCAACCTATGTAAATCACGCTCACTGCTCAACAGTTATCACATTTATCCACTACTTACATTCCCAAGACTCTGCCATAATTCCCAGCATTTTTCTTAGGCCCCCCTTGGCCCTTTTTCTCTTCCCTATCAGTATTTATAAGTAGTAAAAGAGAGGAGATCGATTTAATATTTCTAAGTTACATAAAAGGAAACAGAGACCAATTAAGTAACAATTATACCTCAGGGAGACTGTCTTTGGCATGCTTCAGCTTTTCAAGTTCATCTGAAAGCTGCCTTACAGCCTGCTTATGCTTCTCCAGTTCATTCATGAACCTTGTTTTATCCTGATGTAAGCAAAAAAATATCACATCACTTCATAAGAAATCTTATATTAACTTAGAAATTAAACAACCCAGAATACATCCACCACAAGTTCAGAAGTAAAGCCTAGGGTAAATGGGTGGGCTGCACTAAATTATATAGAAACTCAAACAATGGACTCATAAAAAACCTGCTCAACATTAGTGTAGGAATCCTTCACTGCCTTCTCAGTCCGTATGCGCTTTGCTTTCTCTATCCGGTTTTCTTCCTTCTCCTTTCTCATATCATCTCTATGCCTCTCCACAAGCTTTTCCAGAGTCTGGACAAGCATTGTAGCGAAGTCAAAACGTGCTAAAGAGGTCAAAGGGAAATACAGAAAAAGAAAAATGAACCTGAATTTTTTTGTCTTTCTCTTCCTTCATGGCCTGTTCTCCGCTAGTATCCCCAGAAGATCGTTTCCCTATAATGCCAGGTCAGAAAACAACAGTAAAAAAATGACTGGATTACAACATATATTTTAAAAGTGAATGGGAGAGACCATGGATGGTTTAACTACCTTGTTTGACTTCCTCCAACTGCCTAGAAAGAGCTTGATTCTCCTTGCTGAGTTCCTCCTTTTCCTTTAAGAGTATCTCGCACCTCCTCTGCAGAAGGAGAAATAGTGGTAATAAACTGATCAGCAAACAAAAAAGTTTCCACCTTAAGAGCATAACTCTATATGTCTCAAACTAATTATGAGAATAAAAAAGAAAATGTACGACTATTATGGGTGATACTTGTTCCGGCTAAACGACATGAGATTATAAAAACCTTATACTGAAGGATCGCCTTCTTTTGCTTCTCGCCATCTGATCTTAGACTTGCCTGTGCATGAGAAACATATACATCAGAAAGATATAATAAACCCAATGGCAGGCTATTATCCAAATCTGATTTTAGAGTACAGAATTTTATGGTGCACCTCAACTTGCAAAGTTTCATTTATCCTTTTTTCTTTCTCAGTCAGATCCAATCTATAGTTAGAAAGATCTTGCTCCAGATGTGATACAGTCTCCTGCTTTTCTGAAAGAAGTTTCTCGACTTCTTCTACACGAGAAACCTTCTTCTCCAATTTTTCCTGGCAACACAAAACAATAAATAAAATAAAATAAAATAAAAATGTAAACAATAACAATGATAAAAGAAAGTCCAAGAAATCACATACAATTTTTGAAGGGAATTGAAACAAAGTAAGATACAAATAAATTAAAAATCACCATTGAATGTTGGCCCACTTATTTTTAATGTAAAAATAATCAAATAAAAAAGTAAACCCAAAAAAAAGAAAAAAGAGGACAGATACCTTAAAGCTTTTCACATGCACTAACATAACCACAGATAAAAACTAAGGCCAGCTTTACATATTGTCCCATAATTTGCAAGTCATTTCCACATCTTTATAATGTGGGCCAGAACTCACACACATCACTAACATGTCATTAGATCTCAACTAAGGGTTTAAAATGATAAGATTAAATAACTATCAGCAGCATTGTGAGCTTAAAGCAATTAATATCTTTATAAATTCAATAAAAACCTACCTCCAACTGACGAACATCATTCTTCACACGATCATAATCTTCCACATCAATATTCTTATAACTTTCAAGTAACTTCAAGAAAGAGAGTATATTAGAATATTGAATATCTTTGTTTAATATGTGCATGCAAGTATAAACAAACAATTAACAGCAGCCACTAAAGAAGACCAACAGGGCTCTACATCTTTTCAAGTAGCATCACAGTCCACGTAAGTGTCTCTCAGATGCAGAGCATAAATATATTACAAGCACTGATATCTGGCTCTCGGGAGTCAGGACATTGTCTCAGTTGGACTTCAAGAAATAATATGCTTTTCTATGTCTCGATTAGGTAGATGTGTGCAGGGAAAGGATTTAGAGTACAAGGTTTTCAGAATAAGTCAAAACCCTAGGGAAGCACTCAAATTGGTAGTAGACCAAACTAACGCGATTGGATTGAAGGGAAACCAAATGTTCAAAAATCCTTGTGTCCTTGAAATATTTCCCATTATATTTGAAGTCATGGTTTCAATTTAGGTGGTAAGGGATCGGACAAGGATGTGGTACATAGCTACAAAGACAGATA